GATCGCCATCTGGCCTGGTATCTTCTGACAGAACTCTATATTGGCTACTATTGGGATCATTGCCGTCAGAAGTATTTCCTTTAGATTGATCCCCTTTATTTCCAGCTCCTCCATCTATTTGTGGCTCCTCATGTTCTTCTGCATCTTCTGCTACAAACCTAGTTATCCTACTGTTTTGATCATTTCCATTGTTCTTTCCATCAGATTTATCCCCCGGATTTTTAGTTTTTCCACTGTCGACAGTTCCTCTAGATTCACCTACGTCTATACCAGGATCCTCATCCCCATCATCCATATCGACCCCATAACCTTCTTGTTGGGATTCTTCTTGTGCTATAAGCCTATGTTTCGCAGTATTGGAACTGTTCCAATTGTTATTCACATCAAGCTTCTTTTCCTGATTTCCCCCTCTTCCACCCCATTTAATTACACCTTCCCTAACATAATTTCCTCCACTCCATTTAATTACAGTTTCCCTGCCAACATTTCCCCCTTCTGACTTAGACTTTGTGTCATCTTGTGACGGCCCTTCCTGTGCCAGAACACTAAATATCCTACTACTTGAACCATTCCCATCAGACGTATTTCCATCGTATACATTTATATATGAATACTCATCATCCGGTGAAGAATATTCTTCCCCTATAATTGCAAGCTGTCTACACTTCCTATCACATACAGCACTGACTTGTTCCTTCACACTTCCTTCTTCACCTTTCCCACTTGCACAGTGATAGGACGTTTGATCCTGTTCTAACAGTATTCTAAATTGTCTGCACTTCTCACAACTTTTACCACCCTTCTCTGCTAAAATTGCCACCTCTCCTCTTATTCCATCCGTGTCATTCATCCAACGATTTGGTTCCCCATCGTTCTCCTGCAAGATCCTGCACATTGGTTTTTTATAATATTTCTTTTCATTTTCATCATTCTCCCTCTGTTCATTATTTTTATCTTTCTCTTGATCTTTATCCTCATCACTACCACTATCACTATCCTTATCCGTGTCCTTATTCTTATCAGTGTTCTTATCCGTTTCCTTATCCGTGTCTCTATTTTTGTCCTTATCCTTGTCATCCGATTTGGAATTCCTTTCTGACAGTATCCTGCAATTAATACACGTTTCTTTTTTTTTGGTTCCTTCTAGCTCGTTTCCAAAATGTTCCATAGTTTGGTATATACATTGAGGTGACAATATCCTGCAAATTCTTTTGCTTTTAGTTTGCTCAATCGGGTGATAGATTACTGCATAACCATTGTCCAAATGCGAGTCTTTCTTTCCTTCATTGTAATCCTTGCGTTTATCTTCCTTCTCTTGATGCTCTCCGCCGTCCTCATCGCCCTCATTGAGAATCGGCATTGTGTCCGATAACCTCCTGCCTGATATGTTCGGCGACATACCCATGATGTCTTTTCCCAAGGGTACAATTTTGCACTTCACTTTATCCCACTTAGATTCGTAGCCCTGTTGATATGTCTCTTCCTCTAACCATTCGTCCAGAAGGACTGTGCCATTTGTGATACCCTCACTATTGATAATTCGGACGCGGTCAAAATGGGTGTATTGAAAAGGGAACAACTGTTCTTCTGTGGTTATGTAACCATTTCGAAAAAGCACATCAGGATGATAAAAATTTTTTCTGTAAATTTTATCTTCACCTGTAAATGTATACGCATTACTATCCGCTATATTTCCTGGGGGGGACAACAAATTCAACTTGCGTGTTCCTCCTATCGTGAGAAAAACGTCCAACAGATTGGCCAACTTATATTTCACCTGTGCACATTCGTCAAGCAATTTAAAAAAGAGAGAGCTAATCCGCTTCACAATGTTCCTACCCAGCACAAGTGCATTTTTTTCATTTCCATTCTTGTAAAAATCGTCCTTATCACTCCATGCCCAGTTGTTGTTCTTCATCCCAATTAGCGCCGATGGGACAGGTTTAGCGCAACTTTCCCCCTCAGAAAAAGTCACCCCATTGTAGCACAAAGTAGGGTTACTTTGGTCAAGTGTGCATATGTCGTCATCCCCCTTTTGATGTCGTTTGATATGGCCATTTGCACTTAGCGCGACCTCCTCAGGGTAATTCTCGGGTACACCATTGTTACTACTGTGCAATGGAAACCCGGTTGGAAAATTGGTCAGCGTTTTTTGTTTACGGGCGCACCCCCCAAAATTGAGCCCTAACTCAGCTGATTCAGGTTCCGCAAAAGACTTGGTGCGCTCATTTCTATGCTCCTTTTTTATAGAAAAATATTCCAAGTACTTAACCCCGACAAGAAAAAAAGAAATTAGCGTCACCCTTTTCAGGTATGCAGTATCCCACATGGTTTTCGTGCAAGTAGAAGAAGAGAGAAGTTTTGCGAGAAAGGGTTTAAGAAGATGTAGAGTTCAGTTTTTTCGTTCAGTTTTTTCATGCAGTTTTTTCGAACAGATGTTTTGTTCAGATTTTTGTGTTTACGTGTTTTGTTCAGTTGTTTTGTGCAACTGTTCTGTTGAGTTGTTCTGCTGCTCGGCCGTTTTGGTAATTGGCCTTTTGCAATTTTTCGTTGCTTAAATTGTAAGGTTCCATTTAAAAAGAATTGTCAACTGACTGGTTGAACTTTTTTTCTGTTTTGAATAATACATTTTTTTTTTTTTTTTT